CTGGGGTCCAAGTATGCTCGCAAGGTCGCTCAGGCCATCGATCGAGGACAGTGGTTTGTTCAAAGGCGCCTCGAAGCTGAAAGCTTTGAGATTCGGAAAGCCAGTTACAATGAAGCCGATATCTGTCGTGACGGGGAAAGACAACGCAGTGACTAATGAGAGATCCCACTGAACTGAATCCATAATCCGAGACAACGGTCTGATGAGAGACAACGTTGCCTTGAATCGAAAGTCCATCCGGAGTTCCCGAAGATTATCCAATTCGCCGATAAGGAACATGATGTCCGTTGGAGTTGACGGTCTGCAGGCAGCCTTGGGGCCTTGGACCTGAACAAAGCGGCCGGGGGTTCGTGAGGTTGGCGGACCTTCTGTGTAGATGCTGAGTACTCTGAGAGGAAGTAATTGTCAGTCAACAGACCTGTGCCATGTGGGTAGATTACCAGACATACTGTATGGAACGAAGGATGAGTCTATTGCGAAACACCAACATCACATGATCGGCGAGGGCATCTTCAGCGCAGCTTATCTGAGAAACTCGGAAGATGATGGGAATGCTGAGACCTCTCATGAGTCGGCTAGTATTCGAGATCGGGACGAGAGAGATGTTGTTGTTGTCCATCTGGCGGAGAATTTCCAAGATGAGCTCTTGGGGCATCCGTTGGAGCGGAAATCCGCCGCTGCCGCCGTTTGTAGGAGGCTGGCCAGGGAATTGGATAGGAGCGATGGCACTCATCTTGTCGCTAGTGGTAGATGAGAAGCGAAGACAATTTCGTATGAGAAAAGTATTTGCAATGCTCAGTGTGCGTGGGATGAGGGTGAGAGTGAGATGGGAAAGTGAGGCAATCTCGTGTGAGCGCGGCAAATATTTCCGAGACTCGATGGATTTTGATAAGGAGAAAGGCTGTAGTGAGCAAAAGTGAAAGAAAGAGTGATAGGCGATCTCGAAAGAGGGGAAATATCTGCGAGACTCGATAGGTGTTGAGAGGAAGAAACTCCAAGGTGAGTGAGGGTGAAAAGGAACAGTGGCAGGCCAAAGACGCGACTGAGGTGAAAGTTTTCAGAAGAGGGTAGGAAGGCACACTCACCCTTCACCCGGTCGTACCTTCCATAGTAGGCGGTGTGATATTAATTTTATGAAGTTGCGTATTCAGTCACTCACGTGTTCACTATGACGATGCAGGAGATAATCTGGATTCTGGAGTCTGGGATTAGTACTTTGCAGACGGCCATAATAGCGCCTTTGTTTCTTACTAGCCCTCGTCCCTTCCTTCTTCTTCGCCTTTCTTCTTTGTACAAGGTTGATTTCATTCATCTTGAAGTTGTCTGTTCAATCTCCTTTAAGTTTCGGTATTGGTGTATTTACTGAAAAGTTGCTCATCTAAAGCAAGCGAACTTCCTTGAAAAACACAGGCAAAGGTAATATTCAGGCGTTGATGTCCTCCTCTGTATCTATACATTGCTTTCTTGATGCTTCAAAATACATCCAGGTTACAGATAAAATCTTGACGTTGTCGAGGACTCAAGCATCGCCAGCCCTGGGCCCCGTCTACTGAGGACTTCTCCTGAGGCAGCCTAGCCAGGCTACCAGTATCTTCGGACCGGTTCTGTCGCTGCCAACTGAAGCACCCTGCCTGCAGAACTACTCCTTAGTATCGTCGCTTGAACCGTCAGAACGACTTTTGCACATCTTGTTGTGGAAATAAACAATCAATGACTTTCTATTGATGAAGGCTACATGGAGAAACGCAGTAGGTACCATTCCAATCGCGGGATCCACCGCTTGAAGTTGAGTCACGACCGGACACTTAAAGTGCCGGGCGAGCTATACTCGTGATGATGACCCGGTACGTTCCGACCACCCCAGGCAGCATAGCAGCGATGATTCTCGGTCGTAAATAGTTTAGAGCACGCTCCGAGTTCAAGGGATTCGCTATCATTTCTTCATCGTCGAATAAATACTGGCGTAGAAATTCTTCACGATGGACCCCGCAAATTTGGGAAGTCAGAGAACTGTAGTCCTGGGACTCTATGACCATTTTATTCGAGCGGTCAACTTCATGGTAAAATTATTCCAGCAATCTACCAAAGAGATGAATACTGATTTTCAAGCACCAGGCTCCATATCCCTTCCTCTATCTCTTCCCCACGAGGAGGATCTCCCGGCACTTGTTAAATTCAAACGATACATGTACAGACACTACCATATTTCCACGTGGCGTCCCAAAAACGCCTAAAAGCCGCGACAGTTTTACACATCGACTGCTTTCCCTTGGCCTTTGGGCCTGCTACAAGGGAACACAATCGTTTGTCTACTCCCGGCTAGAGTCACACTTGCCACAAGTTGTTGCATCGACGCTCACCACGATTGCCTGTGCTCGTATCCGGCTGTCCTGGACATATCTAGTCACGTCTGACGAGAATGAGAGGAACGGCGCCTCCATGACGTCTCTGTTCGCCATACGACGTGCCAAGTGGCTGCGCTTCATCGCTACAACGATTTTGTGCGACAACTTCGATCTTGTGACGGGCTTATGCCTCAAGTTTTTCTTCGACGCTATCGCCCCGTTCCCATCTGACGAAGAGATGCTCAGCGGCGAGGCTACGATTCGTATCTCGTCTTGTCTGAAAACCGCTGCCTTGATTCTTCCAACTGTCATGCTCTTATGGATACTGGAAACAGTAACCTCCACCTGTGCTGCTACTGCTGCACTTTACCAACAATGGGAAGTCGACAAAGGATGGTTGGTTGGTGTCGCGGAGGACATTCGTATTGGAATTTACTCCGTGAGTTTGCAACTATGTCACGGCCTGGCCCAGGACTTCTTGCTCGGATCCGTCAGTGTTATAGGGATTGCTTTGGCTCCGATGGTCGGTTGGGTGCTGTTTCTGCGATCTGTATGATAACGTAACTTCATGTAAGAGGATGTGTCTTGCGCCAGCAAAAGATGTAGTCTACAATTACCACCCACCTCAACCGTACAACTTCATATGTTTCGGATAGAAAGTGCAGTGAGTTTACTCAAAGATATGTTCACAGGCTGTCATGTCGTGTACAAGCATGTATGGTTGTGTTGATTGAATAGAACTCGGCTACATCTTACTCGGCATCCGCATGCCACCATCTAACCTCAACACTGTCCCATTGAGCATCACATTCTCAATAGCATGCCGTGCTAGTGCCGCAAATTCCTCAGGCTTACCCGCACGTACGGGAAACTCCATAGAACGCTCGAGACTGGCGCGGACCTTGTCGGACATCATGGAAGTCATGCGTGACTCGAATAGACTCGGGGCGATGGTGACAACGCGGATGCCGAAGCGGGCAAGGTCACGGGTCATGGGAAGCGTCATGGCCGCGACAGCGCCTTTACTCGCGGCATAGGCGACCTGGCCCTTTTGGCCGTCAAAGGCTGCAGACGATGCGACCATGATGACGATGCCGCGCTCGCCGTCGGGCTTGGAGGGCTCGTTCTTGGCCATGAGAGCCAGTGCCTGGCGGGTAAGATCGATGGTGCCGCGTAGGTTGATGTTCAGGACAAAGTCCCAAGCATCTAGGCCGAATGGCGCGCCATGGCGGTCGAGGATCTGGCTTGATTGTTAGACATGCACAACACGGCAGTAGCCGGACTCGGGGATGGAAGCATACAGATGACGGGTTACCAACACCGGCTGCTGGGATGACACCTCCGACAGGCTTTCCTGACTCCCTTACCCAGGCGGCGGTTCCCTGGACGGCGGCCTCGATGCTCTTGGTGTCCAGAACATCGCAGACAAAGAACTTTGCAGATGAGCCCAGCTTGGACACCAGCTCATTGCCGCTATCCTCATTCATGTCCAGAATGGCGACGTTTCCTCCATTGTTGCATATGTCCTCCACGCAGGCCTGTCCCAGGCCAGACGCGCTGTCATGGGATGGAAGTTAGCGGGGTGGTCATTAGCATGTGATCAGGGATGATGGGCTGGTTGGGCCGTGGAGAGAGGCCTGTTACGTGAGAAGTTGAGATGCATTGCTTACCCGCCAGAGATGATGAAAGTGTGGCCTGAAATCTTCATTATGATGTTTGTCTATGAAAAAGTATAAATCAAATCACATGGGTTGCAGTTGAGGGATGGATGTCAAAGGAGGTCAAATAGGACGGCGTTGAGGTGAGAGCTTACAGCGGGTGCTCCACTAAAGCTCGGTAGTACGGTGAGGAACAAAGTCAAGCCTCGGCAGCCGGTGTAGGCTCGGTGAACAATGCCAGTCCCATCGATTATGAGGTGGAGTATCAAGCCACGATTGGCGGGGTCACCTGAGGCAGTACGTATCCCCAGGGCTGGAACAGGACGGAGTGTAGGACCAATGGGATCCTATCTCAGGCCGTCTGATAAGGCTTCAAGGTACGTACTCCGAGCAGCCACACCTCTGGCACGTGCGCTGTACGCGGGTGGGCTTGACGTTGGCGCTCGAGCCCCCCATCCCATGTCGCAGACTCAGCGGAGCCCGGCGGAGGCCCGGCCCAGTTGTCTCGTGGTGGTGGTGTGCCGTCATTGCAGCACCTCTGGGTGCTTTGCCAGCGCACTTTACTGCACCAACCAACTACGGATACCTGAACGCAATCAGCGCAAGGCTAAGAGCGCACCTCAAGCGACGTCAATCTTCCTTTTCCTGTCCCTTGCCCAACTCGAAACAACAAACCCGATCTGACGCCCTTTCGTTGCTCGTTGCGACCTCAACGTCGCCGCCAGTCCCAGAGGCCGCCGATTCTTTATTCCCTCCGTTTCTTTATGCCGAGCATTGCTTGCTTTTCGCGAATCGAAACTTGCGCCTGAGCGCGTTATCGGCCCAAACTAGAACTGTCACCGTCTTTTGCTTACAAACTGCACGACTTTCCCCCCTCCTGCGCCATTCAGCTTCCCTCGTGGCCTTATCGCCGCTGCGCCGCTGTCGCCCGACTTTTTCGACCGATACACCCCATCGCGCCGCATACCATACCTTATACACATTCCGCACCGCCACGATGACGAGACCGCGGGGTTCCAGCGCCGCGAGCGAGGAGAGCAACGGCACCGCCGGCGAACAGGTGAGGAACCACCCAAACGAGCTCCGATCCGATAACGACCGGGAACATGGGATGGGATAGCATACTGACGGAGTGCGCAGGAGCTGGGTAGCATGTACGACTACTTGGCAAAGATTATCTTGCTGGGACCAAGCGGGACGGGCAAGTGAGTGGCATCAACACCCGAATGGGAGCACGCGACCAACTCCGGCTCTCGCACATAGCTGACATGGCGCTTCTCCGCGATCTCAGGTCCTGTCTGCTTCACCGCTTCGTCAAGAACGAGTGGAGAGTCCTGTCGTCACAGACCATCGGCGTTGAGTTTGCAAGCAAGATCATTAAAGTCGGCACCGGGTCACGGCGGAAACGGATAAAGCTTCAGGTATGCCCCCAGAACTCTCAATAGCGTGACCGGAAAAGGAAGGCGATGCTGATTACAGGAACACCAGCTTTGGGATACGGCCGGCACCGAACGGTTCCGCTCCGTTTCGCGATCATATTACCGAGGCGCCGCCGGGGCCATCCTCGTCTACGATGTCACAAATCACAGCAGTTTCCGCGGTCTACAGCCCTTTCTCAATGACGCACGCGCACTAGCATCCCCGAATCTATCATGCCTATTAGTAGGCAACAAGCTCGACCTCGCTTCCGACCAACTTATCGATACAAGCCTTCCTCCGCCAACACCGAGCAGCGTCGGCTCCATGTCGTACTTTGCAAACGGCTCCGTCGGATCAACGGGAACAAGTCTGCCATCGCTCGGCACGCAGCAGAAGGCCACGGAGGCGCCGGAAGGGCGGGAAGTCAGTAATGCGGACGCAAACAGATGGGCAGGGACGGTCGGGATCCCGGTGGTGATGGAATCGAGCGCGTTTAACGGCGAAAATGTTGACGAAATCTTTGCGAGGCTCGCTAGAATGATCCTTACCAAGATCGAGCTGGGCGATATTGATCCGGACGACCCGATGAGTGGCATTCAATACGGCGATGGATACGGAGGAGGATGGAATGCGGGAGCCAGCGACGGCGCGAGTATCAAGAGCTCCATGACTGGCGCGACACTCGATGAAGCGGCGGGAGGTGTCCGCAGAAGAAGAGGCCGACGAAACACGCGCAGCGGCGCAAACTGGGGGCTGAGAGATTGGGAAGAGGTCTTTACGTTGTCGAACCGACGAAGAGGGGGCAACTGCTGCTGAGGTGTTTTTGCCTTATGGTACCATAGGGTGCCATATGGTGGAAGAGAAGAGACGAAACTTGGTTTCTTGCTGGTTGGTATCTTTGGGCGCGGAGTTTTGCGAGGAGTCTTTATTTCCCAAGGGATGGTCCATCACGGGGCCGGAATACTACGGGCTCGAGGGTCCGAGATTAGCGTTGTACCTGACTTTTGGTTGACGACGAAGGAGCCACGTTCGCTTCACATGTCGAAGTTGGGGGAGCTGGCGTTGCGGGATAGATACCTCATTCTTAGGTCAGGGCTGGCCATACACATACACGCTTCGCTTTCACAACTACATACATTAATGACACCTTTTGGTACATGCAGACAGGGCGGGTGCTTTTTGTATTGATGATGTGACTTTTGCCGGTGACTAGAAGGGTTCGACTATGGGGAACATGGAACTAATTGCATGATCTGATTTGGAATTTGAATCAAAAAGGCAATCTCAACAGTCTCATGACGGAGCTTTGGCTTCCTGGATCGTTGGCAAATGTAATATCTCGAGCCTGATATTGGCCGTGAAGTGAAGGGCATGATGAACGGCGGGAATGCATCCGTCCCACTGGAAGCCCACCCGGGCGATGTGATGCCAGAGGATGAGAAGGACGGCACAATTGAAAACCTGAAACGGCGAGCTGCAGAACTGCAATGCATTTGTAACACGGCCGAGAAAGCCAGTGATTCGAAACCAGAGTAAGCTCTTGCCGTATCGTAAGAGCGAGGGAGACTGACAACGTGGAAGGTGGTCGTCATGAGGCTATCCTCGGGCCCTGAAGCATCGGAGAATGATGCAGCGATTCCCACGGCTATTCCCAACAGAGGAGACGGAGGGCCTCCCTCCGCGAAGGAACCCCACCGAGGTGAGCAGGGGTCTCCAAGGTGGAATTGGGGGAAACTTTTGGATATTTGGGGTAAAGAGGCGGTTCTCCACTCCGTTCGGTGGTGATTTATATCCCCGATGGTGAGACTTGACGATATTTATGGGAACTGGGACAAAGGCCTTCGAATAGGAAGAGTTGCCGATTTGCCATGACGAGTTGTACCCAAGAGGATACCGGCGTGATGGGAACGGTCTCTTGCCAAGAACATGTGCTGCGCCGTCAGTGGGCTTCTCTACTGCTACTGTAGAACCAGCCCGGCCAAGATAAGGTAGGTGAGGGGCAGCATTGCCATCACAGACGTTCTCATAGTAGTCGGACTCTTAGAACAGAAGCACGAGGTAAAGGGTCACCTCACTCAAACCCCTTGGTCTTGCAGCCATGTGCGTGGCTTCCTCCGAATGCAGCCCGCCGGCAGGTTGACTTTATCCAGCAAGGGATGTAACCACACAGTGGCAGCACACTTTAAACAATGCTCCATTTCTAATCCTAGAGAACAGACAATCTTGTGCCCATTGGAGAAAAAGAGGCGTCCCTCATTCTCCGCGCGTGCCTGGCTTGGACCAGATGGGGAATACCGGTAAGTGAGAGCAGACAAGGTGGGAGGTGTGGGGGAGCTGATTTCCAAGTAATCCAACGGGGAAAAAGCCTATGAGGAAAAAGGGGCCCTGGATCATGGATCGGGCATGGAGGGAATGGAGATGCATCTCGGCGGGTGTCGTCCCGTCGTTCAGACTGAGGCAAGTTGCACGAGGTTGGAGGAGACTCTCATCCCAGAAACTGGACATGTTGGTCGGAGTTCAGGGATATTTTGGCTTGAACATCTCTGCGCCGATCCCGAGGTGAGGCGAGCTATACGAATTAGTGTAGAGAAAGCTCAATTACCTGACAAAGACCAAAAGCATGAGATGAGGTGAGATGAGAGGTGGTGAGGCGAGCTCAAGTGGAGAGAGCTCCCCGGTCTGGTTTGAGTGAGAGTGGTGCATGGATGAGATGGTGAGGAGTATATGAGGACGACACATCCTCCCAGCCTTCCACGCGTATGGCAGTCATTTCGCGTGAAGATTCTCTGAGAGCTTCCATCATCAGCTACACAGTCTCACTTACTCTCCGCTGCTTCGCTTCATCGTGAGGTTGCCAATTGAGCGAGAATACTGTCTTATCTCATTCACCCTCGACGTTCTCACAGTAAGACACCCAGCACCACGATCTGCCCCTCGGCCCCTCCAACCCCCCGTCCCTGTCCCGGACCAGCATCTAAGGCACCTCAAGGTACCCATCTACCCCGCCATCCTCCGCGGGGCACCTGCGCTCGGTGCGCTCATCCCCGACTTCATCGTCGCTCTTGCGCGCGCCTGCAAATATCCCGGGATATTACCCTTTTATCTTTGGTGAGATCCCAATCATCTACTCTTTCAATTGGCATCTCTGCCCACCTTCATTGCATCCTAATTGTTCCCCCACGCAATGCGCGTTCATCCAGAGCTCATCCGCAGCTCGACCACCGCTAACACCTCCAGCCACCGCCGCCCCCTCCAAACAATGGCATCACGAACCGTCATCCCAATCGACAAGAACTGGCAGTTTAAACAGGCCGGCAAAGAGGACAGCGAGCTCCTTGCTGTCAGTCAGTTCCCAACAAACGTCCACCTCGACCTCATTCACCACAACGTCATCCCCGACCCCTTCATCGGCAAAAACGAGCTTGATGTCCAGTGGATTGGCGAGGTGCAATGGCTGTACAAGACCACTTTCGCCTTAAAGGCTATCCCCGAGGGTGCCAAGGCAATCTTGGCCTTTGACGGTCTCGACACCTTTGCTACCGTTGTGCTCAATGGCAAGACAATCCTGGAAACGGATAACATGTTCACACCAGAGCGTGTCGATGTCACATCTGTCCTGAAAAAGGATGGGGAGAACAAGCTCGAGATCACCTTTGACAGCGCATACCTACGGGGTTGGAAGCTGGTTGAGAAGTACCCTGATCACAAGTGGGGATGCTGGAACGGCGACAACTCGAGACTTGCCGTCCGCAAAGCTCAATACCACTGGGTATGCGCTCCATAGGCCCTCATTTGGCTGGAATGATTATACTGACGCTGCCAGGGCTGGGATTGGGGCCCGACTCTTTTGACGTGCGGTCCTTGGAGGCCAATCAACCTCGAAATTTACGAGTCGCGCCTATCCGATCTTTACTTCGAGACCACTGTGGACGACTCCCTCAAGAGTGCCAAGGTAGTCGCTCACGCCACGACCGAAGGCAAGGCCTCGAAGGTCCGCTTCGATGTGTCGCTCGATGGCAAGTCGCTGGCCTCTGAGACGATTGATGCCAAAGCCGATGCGGATATTGCAGCAACCTTCCAATTACAAGACCCTGCGCTGTGGTATCCAATTCGCTACGGCAAGCAGCCCTTGTACACCGTGACAGCCACCCTCCTTAGTGGCAGCGATGAGGTCGACACACTGTCCAAGAAGATTGGTATCCGCAAGGTCGAGCTGGTGCAGAGACCCGTCAAAGAGCAACCGGGAACATCATTCTTCTTCCAAGTCAACAACGTCCCCATCTTCTGCGGCGGAAGCGACTGGATTCCTGCCGACAACTTCATCCCTCGCATCAGCAAGGAGAGGTACTACGACTGGATCCGCCTGCTGGCAGACGGCAATCAGTTCATGGTTCGTGTCTGGGGCGGTGGTATCTACGAGGAGCAGGAGTTCTACGATGCCTGCGACGAGTATGGCATCCTCGTGTGGCAAGACTTCATGTTTGGATGCGGCAACTACCCTACCTGGCCGGATCTTCTAAAGTCTATCGACAGAGAGGCGAGAGAAAACGTCAAGATGCTGCGTCACCACCCCTCCATCGTTATTTGGGCGGGCAACAACGAAGATTACCAGTACGCAGAGAGCGAGAATCTGACGTACGATCTCGCAAACAAGGACGCAGAGAGCTGGCTCAAGACCGATTTCCCCGCGCGATACATTTACGAAAAGATTCTCGTCGATACGTGCAAGGACCTCATCCCCGATACCTACTACCACTTTGGCAGCCCTTGGAGTGGGGAGGACACCAGAGACCCCACGGTCGGCGATCTTCACCAGTGGAACGTCTGGCACGGCACACAAGAAAAGTACCAAAACTTTGACAAGCTTGTCGGCCGCTTCGTGTCAGAATTCGGCATGGAGGCATTCCCCTCGGTCAAGACCATTGATGCATACCTGCCCAAAGGCAAAGACGACCCAGACCGCTACCCTCAGTCCTCGACTGTCGACTTCCACAACAAGGCCGACGGCCACGAGCGCCGCATTGCCTTGTACCTCGTCGAGAACTTCCGCTACGCACCCGATCCCTTGGAGCACTTTGTATACTGTACGCAGCTGATGCAGGCTGAATGTCTGGCCTCAGCCTACAGACTGTGGAAGAGGCAGTGGAAGGGTCCCGGCAGGGAATACTGCGGCGGAGCTTTGGTATGGCAAATCAACGACTGCTGGCCCGTGACTTCATGGGCCATCTGCGACTACTACCTCCGCCCGAAGCACGCCTACTTCACCGTAAAGCGCGAGATGGCGCCAATTTCCATTGGCATCACCCGCACGGAGCATAAGCACCCCAAGGACAAGTACACGCGCGTCGATATCGAAACCAAGACGCAGATTGAGATTTGGGGCTCGAATCTGCAACTGAAAGACCTGATTGTTGACTTGCTGGTCAAGGCGTGGGACGTCGAGACCGGGGAGGAGACGTACTCTGAGACTGTTGACAAGGGCTTTGTCCTGCCTGAGAACAGGTCAACGGAGATGGCCGCCTTTGAGGTGCCCGTGAGGCAAAAGGGCGATGAGGCCAAGACCGTCGTCGCAGCGTACCTAATTCAGGATGGCAAGCAGATTGCGCGATACGTCAACTGGCCTGAGCCGCTCAAGTATCTGCACTTGCAGAAGCCCAAGAGCCTGAAGGCGACACTTGCGGAGGGCGGTGATGTGGTGGAGATCAGTGCCGAGGTTCCCGTCAAGGGTGTCGCGTTGGAGGCTGAGGATGATGCTGTGGTATTCAGCGATAACTTGGTAGACATTGTCCCCGGTGAGGTTGTCAAAATTGGAGTCA